AAAGCATTCTTTTCAGGTAATCCAAGCACACGGGAGTACCACCTATATTAGTAACCACTCAGTCAGTCAGTCACAGTTATCTACTGAGCACTTACTGTATACGAGGCATGGTACTCTCTTTTACAAATATACACACACACACAATCATATCACAAAGTTCACTTTCTGGAACAAGGGGAAAATATTAGCACAGAACTACAGCCACACTCTCACTGCCCCCCCACCAATGTCCACCTTTTACGGTGATTTCTGGGTCTGCCTGGCTGGCTACAGGGTTCTTTTTAAACATCAATCCTGGAAATAGGTAGAGCTGAGTAACTGGAAGGACCTATGCCTGGCTAGATTTATTTACCTTACAAGAACTTAATGCTAGTAACAAAGGAACATAACACTCTCCAAAATGAAAGGAGAGGATGAGGAGGAAATAGGAGAGAAAAGAATCAACACTAATGAGAAAACAGGAGTGAGAGAGTAGATTTTTACACAAGCTACTACTGTGAACAGGGAGACGTTGGGCAGAGGTGGGTAAAGGGATTCTCTAGATTAGAACTCTTCTTAAAGCTTTCACTGGTGTGATCTTCAACGAACTGGTGAAAATTCAAATTTCTATTCATTTTTAAAAAATATTGGATTAATAAGTCATTTAAGAATGGCCTAGAAATGGCCCCATTACATTAGAGTTGCACTCACAATGTCAGACTGTGTTATTACACAGTTGTGACCCTCACTGAAGAAAAAAAAACAACAACCCTGAATTTCCAATCCCACAAACCTATTATACCTTAACCATCTGTCTCAACCCTAAAGCCTGATCACTATCATTATGGGCCACTAAAGTTAGCCTAATTCTCTGAAGATTCTTCCAAAGAACTTACTGTGGTACAAGAATTTCCCGAACTCAGCACTTCTGGGATCTCAACTTCTTTACTGGCAATGCTTTTCTAAATAAAAGTGTGCACCTAACCCTGCCAGTCCGTTACCTCTCTCAAGATGAAAATGCTAAATCAAGAGAAACCAGTAAGTAGATTTCTAAGAATTTTTTAATGAATAGACTTTTTGCTCACATTGGCAAACTGCATTGGTTGAATCCTGTTTTATAAACATAAAATTTTAATGATATTAATGAAAATGTGATATTCCTGTAACACAGGAGTGAGGCAGAGCCACACCACAGGGCACCTATGTAGTATCCAATCATGGTAATGATGAACTGGTATCGGATCAATGGCTGAGTCTACCATTTGTGAAATTAGGAAACAGATTTCTTTTCTTTGACTGACTCCACATCTCTGCAATTTTAAAACCATCACAGATGCAAACTACTAATATAGTCTCTTTCTTAGGTGATAGGAAACCAGCTACAGAGGAAATCAATTACCCAAACTTTAACAGGAAGAAATCCTTCCAGTTTAGTAAGATCAGTTTAACTAATAAGTAAACTAATTAACTTTCCACTTTTAAGACCAAAATCGGCTCAAATCAGATGGCATTTTGAAAATCACCCAAGAACTGACAACCTCTCTTAAACTAGTTACTCTCAAAGTATGATCAAGGGAGGATCTCAGAGCCTCCGGATGGTCTGAGGGCTGCCCTCAAAACCCAAAGGTTAGATGTGTAAGTGCCAAGGAGTCCCCATCAAACAAAGAAGGAGGAAGTTGAGGGAACCATGTTTACTTGAAGTGACTAGACCACCACAGAGCCAGCAATGCTACCTCAAGCTGCCTAATATAGAAACAAATTGGTATCAATGGTGTAGATAACAACATATTCAGAATTCCTATTCTAAACAGACTAGTTATAGATGGGAATTTCAGGGGAATGCCACAATTTTCCCAATTTCCTCCCAACTCAGCTAGTCCTTGCAGACCTGCGTTCTGTAAAATTCAGAGCAGCTAAAGAATCCCATGCACCAGCACATCACCTTGTTTGACACTAAATCACATGGCTTAAGTATGAAGATTCAAATGAGACTTCTCATTATAAATGCTTCCACTATCAAAGTGTGACAACACATTTGAAAATGTGCCATATACTGTTACTGGGGGGAAAAGGTTTTATCCATTGCATCATTATCTTGGGTCTGACAACAGTTCTGAGCATAACATTTTTTAAGTACTTGGTCACTTAATATTTAAATTGCTTTGTGAATAATCCATGTTGAATATACAGTGCACTGGATTTAATTTCTCTAAAATTTTCATCCAGCAGCTGTCACCTTTCATGTAGGTCAAACTACAGATTTTTACTAAAAAGTGAAGCCTTCCAAAACAGTTTCAAAATCATAAAGCTAAGAAATGAAGGTTTAAATAAATTCTTCATAATGCTAACATTTAGGCTCATAGTTCTTTTCACTTTCATTGCATTTTATGTGGTCTTTTATACATTTTTCTTAGATTCTGGAAAGTTATCTGCTATTTCAAGGAATCACAAGTAGTACAGGACACACCTAAGCCATATATAACCCACTGGTGGGACTAGACAGAAGTTAACTTTTTAATTCAAATTCCCTTTGAAGTTACTCCACAGAGATTTAAAAAAAAATAAAAACAGAAATTTCCTGACAACCATTTTCTTTCAAAAACATAAGAGACTATTTCCACCTTTGGTGCACTCCCCCATTGTAGTGGCCAATGCTGCAATGGTTATTTACTTAGCATCCATTTTCCTCCTCTCCCTTCATAACGGAGCCAACTTTGTTCAGATATCCACTCCTCCTCCTTGTTCCACATTCAAAGTCCTAGGAATGGGCCCTAATTCATTCACTCCAACTGTGCCCCTGACTGGTTCAAGAACTTAATGCAGTCAGGACATGGCACTTCTCCTGGAGACTCATGCTGGGCACCCAGTAACTATTCATCCTCATCCTCTCCCGATCTTCAGTTAAATGAGTATCAGTGGTCTATCCATGGCCTATTAAATAAAGCCCAAACAGCATTCAATGTTCTCTACCATCCTTTTACTTCCTTTTTAGATGTTTCTGCTTTGCACACATCTCCTGCTCTATCTAGCAACTAGAAGCCTGGCCCTTCTAGAGCATGCCCCTGCACTTTCCATTTCGTTTTCTACACCCAGGCTGTTCCTTGGCTAGGAAAGACCAACCATCCCCACTGCAGCCAATTTAAATCCTACTCGTGCTAAGTCCAGATCAAAAGTAAACCTTTCCATGAAGTCTCCCTTGACATCACCAAAAAAAAATGGCACTCATCACATATTCTTGTATCATAAATCACTTGTGCACGCTTACAGCTTGTTTTAAAACTGCAAAATCCTCAAGGGCTCTGGGCAAACTCCTGTGCATCTTAGTCTTCCACCACCACTTCTCCCCACCAGACACCCAAGGGCACAGAGAGGTAGTTTAGTAAATATTTGTTGAACAAATGAACACATTTTTTTGAGGGTTGAAAGTGCCTCTACAGAATAGATTATCACAAAGGCTGAAATGTCCTTGGACGTCTTTAAAAACAGCCTAGTATGGTTTAGGAATAGTTCAACGGAAGGAAAAGAAACAAATCAGATGACCTTGTAAGGCTGATTCTGTGAATTTCATCAACTCTTTAAAAAGTCTTGCCTAATAATTCAAAAACAAACCATACGCAAATGCAGTTTACAAAAAAAGAGTGGCACTTGCTATGATATACAAGGGTTAACAACACATTTTTACCCAAAATTTCAGCTGTTCTTATAGTAACATTTGTAAGTTTCAGTTATGTCCAAGGGATGATTTAAAAGCCCATTAACTCTATCTTATTTCACTCTTAAAGGAAGTAGGACAGAAAAATGTTGGCCCTCTCACAGAAGTAACCAGACAAAATTAATTTGGAAGCACAAGTTTATATAATGTACATAATGACATCACATCATCACTAAATATATGCCTACAGAAGTCTAGGGAAGTTATCTGTAATTTTGATTATTTCCTTCTCTGGCCTCTATGGAAAAGGTACACAGAAGTTTTATATTCCTTTCTCCCATCCCTTAAATTGAATTTGAACAAATTACATTGGCTAAGATAAGGTTACTTCAAGACCTATTATCAGTTATCAGTTCAAATAAGGTCATAAATTTATGGGAAACACGCTGGTATCTCCAGAAAGAAGAAACAGTACTAACCAAGGTATGCCATGAGTCCATGAACCAGATTTTTAAGTAAAATCATTCGGAATAAATCTCACTAAATCTCAACAATCAATTAAATGGAAGAGAAAACTTGATACGACAGGACAGAACACTCACAAAAAGAAAGGGCACTGTATAAAATGAAAATCAGAGTCCAAATATGATGGCTATTCATAGTAAATAAAATATGAGAAAGATTAAAGATACAGTAGAAAATTAAATTTAAATACATTTTAACAGTTAACAAGAAAATTAAACATATGTTTATTTCTTTTGTTCTAATATTGCTATATTCTACGTTTCTTTGTAAGTCAATTTAAATCCTCTTGAGGAAGAAACCAGACTATAAAACAGATAAATTCTTGTTTTCGAATATAGTGTAGCACGCTGTAGAGTTATTTTTTAAATAAATATCACATTTTCAGTCATAACCCGCAAATACTCGTTAAAGATTTTGGTAAAGCTACAATTTAAAGTTTTCCAAATTATTTTAAAATCATCTCCAGTTTTCCCAGAGCCGCCTGTTAACGGAAAAGATTCTAAATCCTGTTTCTCCCTGAAAGTGGTAAGGGAGCTCGTTATCTTAAAAGGGCAAAGAGCGGGGTCGAGGTCAGAGTCAGGTTCGGGGCCGGTGGTAATGGAGCGGCGTGCGCAGTTACCTCTCGGGTGGGAACACCTGTGCTGCACCGGGGGCGGGGGCGCCGCCGGGGCAGCAGCCGCCGCGGATGGACGGGTGAGCGCGTGAGCCGCAGCGGACAGCAACGAACACGGCCTCCGAGAAAGTTGGGCTCCCCAGCCCGGCCCCGGCGAGAAGGCTATTTGCGCCCCGGACAGCCTCCGCCGGGCCCGCCTGGCCCCACCGGGAGTGGGGCTCGGCTACTTACCGTGCAGAGAGAGGAGTAGCAAAGGCGCCAGAGGGGAGCCCCGACAAGTCATCCCGGGACCGCGGGGAGCGCGCCCGCCGCCCGCCCGGCTCCTC